GCATGTAACTTGGGTCAAAAATGTTAGTTACCTTCCGGAGATATGACCATCCATGTTAAGAATCAACCCCAGGACTGGAAGTAATAAGAGCCTTAATCTAGTTTGGATCACTCTAACAAAGGCTCTGTCATCTCTGTGTGCGGCCCAGAGGCTGCAGTCTAAGGTTTTAGATTTGAGGAGTAAAAAAAAAAAAAAAAGCTTCCGTTATCTTTTCCATTCAAACATAGCATCTCTGGAGTTTCATAATGACAAACAAAGATAGCAGTGTTTTTGACATGATAACGACTGGCTGTAAGTATTCAGAAAGAACATTCAACCAGACGTTACAGAAACACAGATTCACGAAGTCAAGAACAAAAAAACCCTGTATTTATTTAAAGATTTATTTGACGTAAGTACGAAAAGTTAATGGTCACGTTGTCATTCCCTACCATCAGTGTGTGAACTGAGATCAACCTGTGATACACACTGGTGCATGGCAGGAAGCAGCAGAGCAGTTAAGTTTGAATTCACCTTAACTTCAGTCTTAACTTGAATAAGGGACTTAGTATGATTAAAGGTTGGCTCAGGGGCCATTTGGGGCACTTAGACATTTATGTGAGTCAAGCTTCTCCATCTTTATCTTTAATCTTTAACAGTTTATTTTCAAGTCTTGTATAAAGTAGCTCAATAAATGTATTCTGCAACACTTTGCTTGTTACTGCCACCCAGTGTTTGTCTGTGTATCACAGATGGATAGGGTTTGTTTAATTTTAACTTTTTTGTATTTTTTTAATTTAGTCAACAATTGGTCTGACGGATGTTGTTATTACACTGGACAGGTAATAGTTGTTTGAAGTGAATCTCCAATTCTTCTTTTTTTAGGACTTACCGAATGAGACTAGACTTGAACTAACATTTTTAAGCTGCTAATTTACTACCTTTAAAGTTACGCCTGACTCACGTTTGCTCAGTTGACCCTCCCCTAGCTCTTTGTTATGCCTCTGTAGACCTAGACTGCTGAGGGAACTTCCATAGTGCATGAAGCACTTTCTTTCCCTCTACAAACACACATCCAATTATATAATGGTAACAGTCTTCTCTGTTGTTGGCATTTGAACAGCTTGTCTGCGACCTCAGAATGCCTCCTCTGCACCCCTCGTCTTTTAAAATGACTAAGCGGTACAAATACACATATATAAAAAGTTGACTTGACTCTTTTTCTACTTGTGACACCGTCTCAACCACAGTTACCAGTTTCGTACCAAACAGCTCAGAGAGTCGTTAAAACCACTTCCAAAATGTTTTTGCAAAGACAGCTTTTGCTCCGTCATTTTAATCAAGACACTTCATTTACTTTCATCCACCGGCGGTGTGGATGACTCAACACTAAAGTGGAGCAACTTCTACAGGAAATAAAAAATGAATTTGAAAATATCGCACCAGAAATGCTGTGCAGTGCAAAGAACACATCCATTTCAGTTGTATTTACAGGTTGATAAATTGAGCTCAGGAAATAAATCAGAATCAAAATCCTGAGTCAAAGTGAATTAGAGGAGGGGTATGTAATAAAACAATATCCAGGGATGAGTGATTTCCTTCACTGCTGGACATGAGAGGAGGGAGAGNNNGGGGGGGCAGGATGGGGTGGTGTGACTGATTTAGCCTGTAATATGTGGCCGCTGAGTAAGTGAACAGAAACGTCTTGCGTGGTCTTAAAACTCTGTGGAAAGAAACTGTGGTCATGAGTGAAGTGACAACTGTGGAGACATCTGCAGAACCCTGAGGCACGGACCGACGTTTTAAAAAATGAGGAGGACGTTTTTGGATTTAATTACACGTTACAAGGTGAACAGTTATTAGCGTGTAATGTAATATAATTCAATAATCACATGCTAGGTAGACAAAATGTGCTAGTTTGTAGATTTAAAAATACTTTCTAACTGAATGGAAACTTAATTATAGTAAGTGCTAAAATATGACAACAAGCAGTTAATGATTAACATTTTGAATTTGATTAATCACATTAAATGTGATTGCGCATTACTAAAACTTTTGATTGATGAGGCTGCATCTTGACAGTGACAATGACTTGACATGAACTTAATGCTTAACTTAATGCTGTGTGTCAGGTGAGTCCAGGGATATCCTGTTCTCGCTGCAGTGTCCTGACAAGCATAGCTTCACAGACCGTGTGGTTGAGTGTCATTGAGCCGGCACATGCACAACAGTGTCAGCTGTAGAGGGTGTGTACCTCTAACCATAAACCACAGAAAACACACATGTGTACACAGTCAATACACACACACACACACACACACACTCTCGGTATGCCTGCCCATACTGATGTAGGTTCACTCGACTCATGTCTGTTTCACCCGATGACACCATCATGAGATGCTCAGAGCTGTTGATTTTGGTTCTGCTCCTAAATGTTGCTCATTGCCTGGAAACTGGAGGTAAGTGTGCAGGGTTACAATCCATCTGTGACTGTCCAGCTGTTCATGAGCGTACTTTACTGGCCCTTAAGGTCTCATTTAGCCTGTGGCATTCAGAGTGAACAGTGCAGCCATGGTTCCCCCTAATGAATAGTCTAATTATAAATGCACGCTGCAGACCAGAAAGCCATATTCTGGAGGCATCAGGGAGGAAAAAGTCTAGGAGGGAATTTATTAGTGGTAATATATTAGTTTTGTTTGTCTCTCTGGCATTTGCTTCACACTTATTGATCAGCCGTGTCACCATTGGTTCTTTTATGGTCTTGTAAAGTAAATTTATGAGTGTTGTTCAAACTTTTTTTTTTCTTTTCCATTTCCTGTTGATGCATTACTATGCAGACTATGCTTTAGTCAAGTGATCTTGTCGTTCCTGCTCCCACCAGGGTTCAGTCCTCCTGCAAAGACCCTGACACTTTCTGCGGGAAATGAAAGCTAAATGTGTGAAAACGCTGTTTCATTCTCAGACACATTATTTGTTTACCTCACGCTGCAGAAGGAAGCACACCCTGTGCTTCTGTGGTGTATTTGGTGAGGAAAAAGTAGACCCTGGGGCTGAGGGAACATGATGCAGTGCATGAATACTTGCTTTTTTACCCACGTATTACTCTGCCTGTATCCTTAAGGTGTACCTTTTTCACTCTTGGCTGACATTTCTTTTTGCAATAACCTGCAAGGACAAATGAATTATGAACCCTCTGGGCCTAATGAACTGATGCAGCATATTTATTTCTTCCCCTCTGTGTCCTTAAATATATATATTTTTTTCTTATCTCGTGCATTGTTTCCATTTTCCTGTGCGTAAAACAGGATTTCACCTCCATCTGCGTTGGATGCACACAGTTTAATTCTGACCGCAGCAGCTGGCTGTATATGTTTAATGGTCGTCCGCGGAGCACTGCTGCAGCAAGCTGTCATCATTTCTGCTCATCAAGTGTCTAAGGCTGAATAGAAGGGCTTTGGCTTGAAGCAGCTGATAGAGCAAACTGTGTCCTCAAGTGCACTTTGATGAAGTCAGCAGAGGTAGCAGAGGGAGGGGGACTTGGTATGCACACTGTCCCTTCTGCAAGTGCTAAAAGTTGTCAGCTTCTATTAAATGTCCCCATCTCAGAGCCCGGCTCTAATCATGGCTGATTTCTCAGTGGTCTTAAGGAAACGGGAATATAGTCGGAAGTGCACAAGAGGAGACGATGGTAAAGTTCCAAACTGTAGGGACAGTCTTTGACAGGAGGTCACGGGTTGTTACTTTGAACTTGTATGTACATGATTTTCAGCTTGATAATTTCATTTTTGTTATTTTACTCTTTTATAGAATAAGTTCAGCCGTTTGTTCACCCCCCCCCACCCCCACCACCACCACCACCCTTCTGTAAACAGCAGTCAGCAGTAAATTTGAGATTGTGGAGTTTCTCTTGCATCTTTGTCCTGATCCACTTTAATCAGATCAGAAACTCTGCTGTCTGTGTTTTTTTTGTTAGATTCCTGTTCAGTCTTTCTAGGTTGTGGGTATAGGTGCTTGGTACTTGTTTTTTTTCTAAGAAACCACACTGACTGAAACACAGGTAATCTCCTCTTTGATCAAAGTCTTCTGCTCTGTTGTTAAGACGTGTGAGCTGCATCCTATGACGAACCAATGGAATCGACAAAGTATAAACAGGACGTCCTCGACTTATGTGGGAGTTCTGTTCTTACAGTGTGACTAAACTCGATTCTCGTCTGAACGGACATGCTGTACATCACTCACCTTTGTCACTCGTTCCCAAAACAAAAACAACACAAATGAAAAAAAGTGAATGTAGCACAATCCAATGTATGGTGGTGTACAAGTGGTGAAAATCAACAAGTCAACAAAAGAGTAACAACATATTAGTCCGCTCTGCTCGCCAACTAATTCTCCTGAAAACTAGTTGTCAAGTTTCAACTCCGTACGTCGGAATAATGGAACAATTTCTTTCTTAATAAATTTATGGGAGATGGCAACGTAACCACAAAACGCTGTAAATTGAAGACGTCGTAAACCAAAGACCCTGTCATTATCTATGACATGTCATTTCTAACAGTATCCTTTAAGTATTGCAGTGGATATTGTTTACGCAGTATCTATGAGTTTTTGGTAAGAAAACATCCTACCTTTGGTCCTGTTTCACACATCTGGCCAGTATAGTAGTGAAAGCCAGGACTGGTGGTTTGATCCGGACTCAACAGAGATGACTTACAACACTCACACAGGAAACATGTTTTTTTCTTACTTTGACATTGGCTATAACCCCCCCCCAAACTTCCCCCCCAAGCCTCATCCTGAAATGATCTCTCGTTACTTATATCCGTAGTTCCGTAGATACAGCATTTAAACCTACTTTCTTTTTTGACTGAGACATTGACGAGAAAACCCCAGAGACTCAGTTCAAGCTTTTCTCCATGTATTGGACTAGGACTGAAAACTGGAGAGTCCATCTGAGCTCTAAACTCTAGCCTCGACCATAAAACTATTGGCAGTTATCGCAGAAACAACTTCAGAGCGTTCCTTGGTGACTTGGATTGAGATTTAAATACGGAGTGTTCGACTACAACACTGGACTCACATGTTGGTGGGTGAGATCTTCTAAAATCTGACTTTTGTGAAAGAGAGAGGAGAGAAGCACACAGTGATTCTTCAGTGGTTACTCTTCACCAACAGTCTGCCCCTGATTGACTGTGTGATACGGCCAGTGTCTGATCAAAAAGATGAGTCAGCTCTTGCTTTTTGTGAAACCTTTACTCACACTGAAAGTCTCCTCATGCCACAAGTTTCAAATCAGGCAGTTCAAAAAAGGTGACACAAACCAAGTGCCAACAGTCAGCATTGGCAGCCCTTTATCCCCTGTCTGTGATCAGGTCACTTTATTCACTGTCGTCCTCCTGTGGTGCACTGCTGATGACTCAACACGAAAGGAACGGAAGTCTCTTCTACGGGAAATACTTTTTGATTTGTACTGCAGTGCTGAAGTGACAGAACTTTCTTTTTCTTTTTGGTATGGAGGACAAAATGTGTCTGACAAATAAGTCTAAACGACAAAATAAAAGGTAATCAATTAATTATTAATCCCAATACATAAATGACTTCAACAAAATTAAAATGCAGCATAAAATTATTTGTTCAATTTTAGCCAATTACCAGTAAGTTGGTGTGGAGCAAAGCATTAGGGATGGAAACTCAGGATCGGTATTGGTGCGACATTGGTCAAAACTTTACTAAAACCCTTGTTAACGCCGTAAATACAAAGAATGACAAAAATGGTCATTGTCTTTGTCAACATCATGTTCTTGTATCAACGTTTTGCCTGAGTGATCTCCTACGCCACCAACTGGTTTGACAGAAACTCACAGTTTTCCTCGATTCCTTTCATCTTCAATAAAGTGTCAATGAGAATTGACCAACGAGGGTTCATAAAACCACAGAGTATTTCATGCAGTTGATTTCAACATTCCCAGTGCTAATTCGTGGTTTCCGCGGATGCAACATCTTAACGTTGTCAATGTCTCTGTGTTGGTATGCTGACATCAGCATTCTGCTCCAAGCCCTGTTAGCGTGCTCTGAAATCCAGTCTAATTTGTATTGATTGGTCATTGGCACGTCCTAATTGTGATAAAATGACGGACAACCTCCCGACCATTGAGTCGGTTAGTCCGCATCATCCATCACAGTTTTCGTTAAAGCGCTGAAAGAAAACAGTACGAGCAGAAAGTCCCTTCACTGGCACAACAATGGACATCTATCAGCCGGCTGTCCAGTCTCCCAGGAACCACAACAATCACATTATCTCCCTCAAGACACTTGGGCTCTGCTGCTCTGTGCACATTTCAGAACTGTTCAGCTGAACCTTTGACCTCTCATTATGACGAACACTGTTCTTTACTGTTCCTCAGGTCTGGATGGAGAACCATTAGTGGAGATTACACACAATGTCACCGCAGTCCTGGGAGAAGTGGTGTATCTGGGCTGCAGATATCTGGGCCAGAGTGAGATCCTCAATGCCAAGTGGATACGGCAGATTAATTCCAAAGTTAAATCCAAGGGATTGTCCGGGTTTCTCAACGGCCAACCTTTCAGCCGTAATGATTTCTCTGAGCCAGACTCTGTCACCAACCTCACTGTGAAGATGACGGTGTCCAGCGTTGACGTAGGAGGAGAATACATCTGTGAGTTTGAATCCGAGGAGGGCTACTTTTCTGACCAAGCCTTTGTCACAGTTGTAGGTGAGTTGAGTCGTTTGGTTTTCCTTCGCCTACGTTTACTGTTCTGTGTCTCAGTCTGTGTCTGTGAGAAAGAATTATCACTGATTTTACAGATTTTAAATAAAACAACAAAAAAAGAGCAGTGTGCAACACACTTCTGTTTTTGTTTAGAGTACAAACATGAATGCCAATGGGATTTATTGCAACTCATTATGGTCTAAACATTTCTAGCCAGAAGTGTTCTGACTACAGACTTTTTTTTCCCCCATTTGATTTAAGAGTTTATTTTTATTTTACTTACCTTTGGGAAAACACTGACCATTATGCATTTCTTGCATACCAATAACATGAGTATGGCCCTTTTTTGTTGAGAAGGTCTAGGTTGTGCGCACTGTGCCATTTTTGGTCATTTCTGGTTCTGTAGGGTAGTGGTCCTGAGTTTGATTCCCATAACACCTACATACTGAGTGCCTCCAGGGGGCAGCCTTTTTCAGCAAATCTGCTTTTAACAGTGTAGGATTAATAAAGTTCATTATAAAAATATTGTGACTAAACATTTTGGGATATTGTAAACTCAAGTGTTTCTTAAATGTTATGTGTCACAGGATTTGAATGACACAAACCTTTTAACTACCATCACAGTGCCACATAAAACTACTAGCTAAAATAAATTTAACCAGTCCTGCATTAAAGAATATCCACATGTCTATCCATGCACAGCTCGACCTGATGTAGACGTCCAAGTGAAAGCGTTGACCATAAATGGCACTCACTTCCAGTCGGTGTCATGTTCTGCCATCGGCGGCCTCCCCACGTCTCAGATTAGCTGGCTAATCAACGGGGTTACTCCAGCGGAACCCTTCCTAGCAGTGAGTGAAAACAACATTACTGCTCACTCAAATGGCACGTTCACCCAGACCAGCATCCTACACTTCCCCACCCACCTGCAAGATGAGGACAGCGTGACCTGTGATGTTCAACACCCAACCCTCCCAAACCCCAAACTCACCACAGTGAGGGTGGAGACGTTCGGTGAGCGCTCACATCACAGCTCTGTGTCTTTCTGTTTGTTTGTTTGTGTGTCGATGCTTTTGTTGTCTGTGAGAAATCAGCTAAAACGTGACCAAGGGAAGAGAGTAGCCTCAAAAACCACAGTCAAAAAAAATACCTCTAAGATCCAGAATAAATATGACATAACTACAAAAAGTTACAGAACGGGATTTTTTTTTACAAGCTAACTCGTGTTCCCTTCTTTCACCTTTCCCTTTGTTCTTGTTTCATTGTGTTCTTCACCTCCTCCGACTTGTTCCCTTCATCTTGAGTTTCTGATCCCAGTGATTGTCCTCATCTTCTGACCTCCTGCGTTTCCTGCTCCTGTGATTACCTACTTCTTGCCTCAGTGTGTCAGCTGTGCTCTATTATCTCCATGCTTTTGTGTTATATAATCCACGTACTCTTCATCTCCTGTTCTGTGTTCTCCCTGTGATCCTGTGTTTCAACCCTGATCAGGTATTTCTGGACTTTGTTTTGTTTGTTTTTTTCCTGC